ATTATTTAAACAAGTGTTTCTCAACCTCACGTCATCACCCCCATATGATTAGACAACAGGTGATTTCAGAGACGTGTGGTAGTTTGTCATTATCATGAAACGCATGTGTGAGTACATGCTGATGAACAATAATGGAATAATCCAAATTGCAAGGAGTCAGTAGCATGCTGTTCGGTATGAATAACATATTCATTTTAAATAAACAAACAAAAACACATGGACGCAGCCTTTTCAGAAACTAACAGATGTGAACATAAACATACAAAATATGCATATAACACTTGTAAATGATGCACAATACATAAGATAGCAACGCTTGTGAAGGAGGGAAGAGAAGACTGATACACAAATCGGTTCTTTAACCTTGACTGACAAACGCAGATAAAAATGGAACCATATTCATCACTTGTCAATTCCTTACTTTCACTGAAGAAATGGTTGGCGATGTAAGTACTAGAATTATATATGGTATTAATCAGGTATAAGTAAATACCACTGAAGAACATGCATTTCTATATCAGAATCATGAATACTCGTGGAATCTGCACAATGTTTCCTCTAGAAATTTAAAGTAAGAGTTACTTCAGCACCTCTTTGAAACAAACCAACACCCACCATGAAGGCATAAGCGCCCACGTTGAGAATCGCTGACTTAAATATGATTTTTCCATTATATCAACTACCTTTGCTCTGTAATAGGAGTGCATATTTGTCCTTTCATTTGACTAACTGATTATTTAAACAGAAAATGTTCTTGAGATCAGTAGTCTATTTTAACACTATTTTTTTGGAAACAATATCCAAAAGTTATAAAATGGTTAAAGTAAGATGAATAATGATACACGAACCTTGAGCCATAAGAACATCCCACCTTCAGGCACATTCCATTCACACAATCCTGAAATAGGCATTGATGAATTAGTCTTATGTAACATTGTTATGGTTGATATTGGTACAGTTAAGTTGCCGTGTGCTGTGTATTTGTACTTTCTGAGTATGGGGTTTAGTACTTCTTAGAAAGACATGTGTTATATGTACTTGGCTCCAATTCTTAAAGTAATTGTTTGTGGTGAATCAGTTAATTTACCATGCTCCATGCTTTTAACAAAAATATTCATTGCATAGCATACACATCAGCCGAGCCATAATTCTCTAGCCGACATACAGTGGTTAAAGTTGCTGTAATGTACAATCGGTAAAAAAAAATATCATTATTCGGGAGTGGATGAAACTGAAACGATCACTAGGAGTTGATTCGGTTATGTTGGTACTTGTTGTTTTTAAAGTTCAGAACGGATGAAGCTTCATAATGTGTTCGAATAGTGTTTCGGAGTTGATATGGCAGTTCCTCGTATCATGCCATTGTTAGCCTCTTAGTCCCTCAGAGGAAAGCGTATTTATGATGTTACAAATGGTCTATCAAGTTCCGAAACATCGAAATTAGTTACTTCGAAGCCAACTGTGTCGCTTGTGTATCTAGCGACACCAGGCAGCTGATTCTACGAGAGACAAGGCCAGAAGTGGGCACCCTATGTGCACGACGGAGGAAGATCAAGTAAATATCATTCAAAATCGTTAGGCAATTGGAGTGGATGCACAGCAGCAGAGTCGGGGAGCCGACGAATGTCGGGCCAGTCAAATTTACGGGGTATGCCTACGTGGAAATCCTGGACGAGATATTTCTACCATCGGTGAGGGCCACGTTCTTTAATGAGCCGGAGCCATTTTACCTCGTCCAGGATAACAGCCCTATCCACACGAGCAGTGTCGTGAATGCGTGATTTCGGCAATACCCCGAGGTTACGCTGTGCCGCATCCATCCAAATCGTCAGATTTCAGTCTCATTGAAAATATCTGGGCCGCCATGAGCAGAGACTTTCCCCAAGATCATACCTGAATAGTCATATAGTTGCCCAAGCAATGACGGCATGGGAGCGTCACGTCACTAGTAAATATTTTTTTATTATTTTGGTAAACTTGAGTTGTTTTAGTCTCTCATTCTCTTCTAAAGTTCATATGGTCATTTTGTGAGCACCTAATGTAATATTACGTTTTGCATTTTCGCCCAATTTTTGTCCAAGCCGCAGCATATGTAAGGTCTAAATTCTCCCACCTCTTTTTATCATTTCTTGCATATATATATATATATATATATATATATATATATATATATATATATATATATAAATATATATATATATATATATATATATGAATAATCAGCGAGGAGACTGATGAGTCACTGTGTCATTTCTTGCATATATATATAAATAATTTGTGAGAAGAGTGATAAGTAGCGAGTTGGGGGCGGAATCAAGGAATTTTATAACACTACCCAAGACGTTCCCCCATCTCGGCTGCATACCGAGGAAGCTGTCACGTTTCTTTGATGTCATGTTTGATCTTGACAATGTTCCGGAAGTTACGTCATCCATTATCCATTCAACAGTCCAATAAAATCGTAATTAAACCTAATTCCAGATTTGGCGCGGCATCGTGG